CCCCCGCGGCGCCCCCCCCCCCCCCCAAGCAGACCAGGGAGACGTGGAGCGGCTTTTCTCGCCGCGGAGGATGCAGGCGGCGGGACCGCCCACACACACCGCAGTCCTGCTGCCCGCGTCCGACGCGGAGCAGCTTTTCTTGCCGCGGAGCGTCTCAGCGGTCTGCGGGGGGGGGCGGGGCACAGCTAGTGTGGGGTTCCTTCACCCCGTTCTTAAGTAGGGATCCGACATAAGTCGGATCCACGTTACCCGGGGACTGCCTGTATATGCATTTGTGTCCATTTCATAAAGCGTGGGAGGGAGGGGGAGATAGGTCACAACCACAAAGTGAGCCAGAGCATATGCATGGACTAGGGGACACTGCTGTCAAATTCTCTGTAGTGTGCATGCGTAAAAGGACCACACATCCCGAAGAACCTCCTGGTATAGGTATTTACTGTACTAAGGTTCCAAAGAACAGCTCTGCTTGAGAATATCACAGGGAGCAATACCTTGATTGTGTCAGTGCTTGTCATTAGTGGATTGTGTTGATTCTTTTTTCATTTTGTCTGAAGACGTTTTTTTCAGGCTGCCTGTGAGGTTCCAGAGCTACAGGATAAATTTAATGTTGATGAATATTCTGACTTGGTGACTCTCACTAAACCAGTTATCTATATTTCCATTGGAGAAATCATCAATACACACACCGTAAGTAGACACCAGTCACATTTCTTTCTTACAGAATGGCAGTCTGTTCCTGGTTGGTTTAATGTGAGTCATGTAAAAAAGGCCAAGGGGGAAGATATTATCTTAAAGAAAGGGAGTATCTTCTGAGCAGTCCAAATGAGGAGGTCAGTAGTAAGTCTGCTTGTGGCCTTTTTAATATTTTTTGTGAAGTCATCCGGTACTTTGAGTCTCATTTGACGATGATAGACATTTGCCTGCTACTGTAATATCTTCACTTGGGATCATGACCTGATCTCCAAAAATATCAGCCTAAATAATGTAATTCTTAACTGGGGTGAAACAAAACCCAGGAGGAACAATGAAATGATCGTTTATGTTTGTATAAATTAGTTACTCTTAGATCATCAAGATGCAATTGCTCCTGAGCACAACGATCCAATTCATGAGCTTCTGGATGACCTGGGGGAAGTTCCCACTATTGAGTCCCTGATAGGTGAGCTGCTCTTCTTTTACCTGATGGAGATGTGATGTTCTTCTGAGTGGCACCAGATGTCTGTGTTACTATAAAGATTAATCATGTTTTGGGGGGAATCGGTGCTATACAAAAAGCAACAGCTTACAGTATGGTAGGCTCGGTTATCCTGTAGGGCTTTTCCACCTCTGAATTGCATGAATCTGAAAGGCACTATATTGAATCCTTGCCTCTAACATCAGAGAATTGTGTGCCTCCATTTCTACTCTGCCAGGTTTCCCCTCTCTCACACTTTCCCTTTTCACCAGGGATCTGATATGAAAAAACATTGACAGATGTTTCAGAACTCCTTATGCAATGTAAAGATTTGGTTTGTGCTTAAAAGTTTTCCTAGGATACCTATGTCAGTAATTTTATAGCAATCCCAGTAAATGCTTTAATGTAGCCACAGTTGCCAAAAAAGTCCCTTTGCCATTATAGCTCATTTAATTTAGGAAACTGTTATAAGCTATACTAGCAAAAGAACTATTTTGCCAGTGCAAGCTCCATTTCTACTAAATATACCAGTAAACCCCTTTTATTATAGACTAGGCCAAAGAAGCAGCAAATGGCACAAACTGAATTTCTTGTCCTTGGTAGATCACATTTAAGCTTATCAGTAGAGGGGCAGGTTGAGATGCAAGTTGTAGCTCTCTCTCACTGATTTGTATACATCTGGGGCATTAAAACCTGAATTTACATGAAATCTTATTTTTTAGTATCCATTTTCTATCAGGTTTCTGAAGGAGGCGTGTTAGGAAATCTAAATTATTCATGTCCGCCATGAACATGTTAAAATCCATAAATGAATTGTATTTCTTCTGTATAGCTCAGGAAGGAAAATATTGCAGAGCCCACACAGTCCATGACAATGCTTGAGTGCATTCTAACTTGTGTCTCAGTCATCACATAAGGCACTGGGAAGTAGGTTCCTCATTAATAACTTTTTCTTTTTCTTCTTTTTTACCCCAGGGGAAGGGTCTGGTAATATTAATGACCCCAACAAGGAGATGCTAGCAAAGACTGAAGTTTCTCTTACACTGACTAATAAATTTGATGTTCCTGGTGATGAGAATGCTGAAATGGATGCAAGGACAATCTTATTGAAGTGAGTGATGGGTAATTGCTAACAGCACTTTTTGCTTAAATAAGGGGTAGGATATTAATTTTATGGGTTGGATATGAAGGATGAAAAAGACAAGTGTGACAGGAAATAGTGCACACAGATTGTAGCCAGGATCCCTATAATTTGTGGCCAGTGAATTTGTTCTAGGATAACCCCATTTTGGTAGCATAGTACTTGAGTGTAACTGACATAGTGAAATCTGACCGTGTGTGTATGCAGTTTGAAACAAGAGCTCTGAAGGGTGTGAATAAATTTTAACTCTGAATCTCATTAGTATCAATTTTTATTGTGAACATAGTTAACATTTGCAGCTGATCATTTTAGTAAAAACATCTCCGCATATGACTTTGCCACCACAGTTCTGTGTTATCAAAATAAAATTTGTGATGCATTCAAAATGTTGAGGATGGGAAATATGCAATATATGTAATGCTAACTGATTTTAAATTCAACACAAGAAATACTGTACTGTTGCATTAGACACTTTCATATTGAATTCAGTAAAAACCTTTATGCAGATTTTCTGCTGTGCCTCTCAGGAAATTCATGCTGCAGGAGCAGGAAACACAAGTGGTACTTCACAGGGGTTTTCCCCCAGCTGCTCATTACTTGCTTTATAGAGCAGCTTTATAAACCCCAAAAGTTAAAATACCCTGAGTCAGACCAAAAAATCAGAGACTGGCCTCCAAATCATTAGGTTCCTTTATTTAAAAAAACCCACATTTTAAATCTTTACTGGTTTTAAATTTCCCTTCTCTCTCCTTAGTGTGTGACTGTGAGCCAGTTGGGGCTAGCTTATTGTCACACAAGCGCATTGATTCTAGTTCAGTTTGCATCTCTAAAATCCATACCTGCCGACAACCAGTGATTAAAAAGGTACATTATGCAAACTTGTATTAAAGGGCTACCTGATGGTGCTTGCTCATTTTGAGTTCATTGCAAGTATACGTGCATGGTCATTGGATGTTTTTGCCTTGTTAGTATCTGTAGGGCCAGCTATGTTGCCCCCTTGAGTGCAGCACTCATGCACTAGAATATCAGGTGTTGCTGACCTTATGCCCTCCCAGTTCCTTCTTAATGCCTATAGTGGTCCATTGGAATGTCTTTCCTTGCTAGTCAAGGGCTGGTCTTGGACTTTGTGATTTAAGGCCTTGCAAATAGTTACCCTTTTTTAGTCAGTGTTAAGTATCTGTTTATTAGTTAGTTGTTAGTAGTTAAGGTTCCAGTGGGGACTTTGCCTTTAGTGGGCCATCAAGTGTTCAAGGGAGGCACATGTTAAAGACAAGTGCCATATTTGTAAAAAATGTCAGCCCTGTACACAGAAAGAGCAGGACATCAGGTACAAAGCTCTCCTTGTGGAGTCTGTCTTCCGTGCCACTAGGAGTGTCTAAGCACCTTCACAGAGGTGCAAAGACTGCCTCAGCACTGGCAATGGGGAGCAGTACCGAAGAAGCATGGCTCCCCTATCCAGGTGAAGAGAGGCTAGGTAGTAGTGAGCAAAGGACCTGCCCCGGGCTGCTCACTCACCCAGACTTTCATGGTCAGCCTTCTTCAGTGAGGGCTGTTAGCCCATTGAAAGGTCCTTTTCCAAATCCTGCAAGCAGAACTGGGCCAACTCCTGTGCCTGCATAGACTCCTTAGGTATCAGTGGAGTACAGGTCCCCATCCATGCCACTAGCTCAGCAGTGCCACAGGCTTCAGCAAAGGCTTCCTAGGAGTGCCATCAGTCTCCTGAAGCAATGGCATGCTGTCAGCCTCCACGGCACCAGTGCCACCCTTGACATCAGCAGATACTTACTTACCATTCGTCATCTGCACCGTGGTCACAGTTACTGTTGTTTCACTGTTGCTTGCCAAGAGGAGGCACCATTTCTCCTCCTCCTAGCATCAACCATCATCCCGTTGCCAGTCATGATTGCTGATGCTGGGGGGGAGGAGAATCTTTTTTCCACCTCCGGTCTCCTTGACATGCACCCCAGTCACTGTGCCATCAGTACTGCTCTCCCTGTGCAGGACACCAGTCTCTGATATGGGTGGTCTCAGACAAGACCCAGGGTCCTCAGAAACACCAAAGCCATCTGGAAAACACTTTTCTCCATCCTGGGCGGAAAAGAAGTACTTTGTCCTGGCCAGAAGTTTTTGACTGTTTTGTACCCACCCTCTCCCTGGCTTACTGGTGGTCTCTGCAGCCAATGAGAGAAAAAAGTAGGAGCACTCCTGTTCGACCCTGAAAAACAGAGACACCAAACAACTGGACGTTTTTGAATGGAAAGTTTATTCCACTGCAAGTAAACAGTTCCGAGTGGTGAGCCACCAGACCCTTTTAGGGCATTATAATTTTAACTTATGGAATGGCCTCCGTAAGTTCAAGGAGTCCCTCACACAGGGCTTGGCCCAAACATTTGACACTGTGGTTCAGGAGGGCAACGTGACAGTCCATTGCACCCTTCAAATGCAGCCATGCTCGTGATCGCCACAGTGGTTCTGAGGTGCAGCACTTGGCTTCAAACCACTGGACTCTCACCGGATATGCAGGCCTCCATCCTAGATCTTGCATTCTACAGGAGTGATTCTCTGATCAGACTGCATGGGATGAAGGACACCAAACACAGCCTTCCTCATTCGTCCTGCACGCGCCACAGTCAACTCCACCTGCCCCTGCTATCAAGGTCTTGGCAGTTTCATCCAAGGTCTGCTAGAAGAAGGGACAGAGGCATTGCATCCTGTCATTGTCACCCTTCTGTCTCCACTCATCGGCACAGCCTAGCTTGGTGAAACACTCCAGAGGGAGAAAACCCTCATTTTGATGGTGTGCTTGAGAGTGACCCCTCGCTGATGATTCCACAGATCCGCTTTTATACTTGAGATTGCATCTTTGGTCATAGCACAGAAGTCACACAAGTTCTTTGATATTGTGTATCCAGTGCACATTACCTCTTAGACTCTGCCACGGCCTTATAGCAAATGATGTGCCCTGCAACTCTAACAGCGAAAAGAATAGAAACACACTATCGGGTACTTCCATCCAGGCTTAAGTATTTTTACACTCTCCCAACACTGTGGATTGCTTGGGCATCCAAGAAAAGTCCTGCTCAGCCAAGAGTGCTCCCAGAGACACAGGTCAGGAGTGACTGGATCTAGCAAAGAGGAAGTCCTACTTCGCCTCAGTGAAGAGTGGGCAGCAGTTGAGCCCTTCTATCAAAATATGATTCCCTCACGAGTGACTGAGTTTTGATGCTAGTCCCAAAATATCCTTATGAGGTGAGAGAGGAGATGGAAGACATTGTGTAAGAGGGAGCATTAGTAGCAAACAGTTCCTTACTGGCTACAGTGGACGCTGCAGATACCACATCTAGAACCTTGTCCACAGCTGTGATTGAGAGAGGGCATCATGGCTCTAGCTTTGGGTATTCCCCATGAAATGCAAGTCACCACTGAAGGTCTGCTGTCTGAAGGGTTGAAGATTTTCATGAAAAAAAAATCACATCACACTCGTTTAAAGATTCTTATCATGATCCTGAGATCCTAAGACATGTACAGTTCTGGCATATTGGAAAAGTGTCTCGCAGCAGCAGCAGCAGCAGCAGATGATTTCATACCACAGGCGTCTAGACTGCTAACTGCAGAAGCAGCCTTTTGTAACAGAGGACACCAAGCTTCTCACCCTTCAGCCTTGCACACTACTCAGTCTTCATAGCAGCCCATTTGCCATATCCGTCAAGAACTACACCAGAAGCAGCCAATTCAAGATCTTCTTTGGAAACTACCTTGCACTATTCCATCGCTTATGGTCAGACATTACTGTGGACAAGCGGGTATTAGACACCATTATTCAATCCACCTCCATTCCCCATCCCTCTTCCAGGACCCTTCTCACAAGAGCCTTTTAGAAGCAGAAATTACTTCATGGCCCCAGACAGGAGCACTAGAAGAACTTCCACATATTTTCTCGTTTGAAAGAGAAAGCAGGCATTTGTCCTATCTTAGATTTGAGGCAACTCAACAAACAAACGTGCCCCCTCAGATTCAGGATGATAATACCTTTTGCCATTAGGGATATGAAAGAGTAACTTGAACATGGTTAACCAATGAGCCTGGGCCATACTTGGGAGAGAGGTCCTTCTGATTATTGATGCACTTCTTGAGCTGGTGAGAACTCTGTGAAATATAGAATCATAGAATCATAGAATAATAGGACTGGAAGGGACCTCGAGAGGTCATCGAGTCCAGCCCCCCGCCCTCAAGGCAGGATCAAGCTCCGTCTACACCATCCCTGACAGATGTCTATCTAACCTGTTCTTAAATATCTCCAGAGAGGGAGATTCCACCACCTCCCTTGGCAATTTATTCCAATATTTGACCACCCTGACAGTTAGGAATTTTTTCCTAATGTCCAATCTAAACCTCCCCTGCTGCACTTTAAGCCCATTACTCCTTGTCCTGTCCTCAGAAACCAAGAGGAACAAATTTTCTCCTTCCTCCTTGTGACACCCTTTTAGATATTTGAAAACCGCTATCATGTCCCCCCTTAATCTTCTTTTTTCCAAACTAAACAAGCCCAGTTCATGAAGCCTGGCTTCATAGGTCATGTTCTCTAAACCTTTAATCATTCTTGTTGCTCTTCTCTGTACCCTTTCCAATTTCTCCACATCTTTCTTGAAATGTGGCGCCCAGAACTGGACACAGTACTCCAGCTGAGGCCTAACTAGTGCAGAGTAGAGCGGCAGAATGACTTCACGAGTTTTGCTTACAACACACCTGTTGATACAACCTAGAATCATATTTGCTTTTTTTGCAACAGCATCACACTGTTGACTCATATTCAACTTGTGGTCCACTATGACCCCTAGATCCCTTTCTGCCATGCTCCTTCCTAGACAGTCGCTTCCCATCTTGTATGTATGGAACTGATTGTTCCTTCCTAAGTGGAGCACTTTGCATTTCTCTTTATTAAACCTCATCCTGTTTACCTCTGACCATTT